AAACATCAGCAAGCGAGGTGCGTGGGGGGAGAGGAGGATTAAGACTAACTAGATGGCTAGGCGGGTAAAGCGCTCGCTGTTGCTGAGGAAGGCACTCAAACCAAAGCCATTCCAAAATGTGCGCATTGTCTTGGAGAAAGCTCATGAGGGGCGGGAGCACTGGAGGAGGTAGCAGCGCGAGGGAGTACAGTCTGGCGACCGTGTCAACCATTTCGTTGAGCGGGTCTGCTTGGTGACCGTGCACGTGCTGCCATGTAAAGCGACGTTTCAGGCCAAGTACCTTGCACAGATTGTCGAGGCGGCTTCTATGTTCCATTAGTGGCTCGGCCACTGTACCGCCTTGGGCGGTGGCGACTACGCCCATGTTGTCTGAGTGAAAGGTGAGAGGAACGGCGGGAGGAAAGGGGGACTGTAGGGCCCATAACGCCGCCCAGGTGGCGGCATCGAATTCCGCTTTAGCGGAGACTCTAGTTGCTCCTATTATCTCCGGGGTGGGACACCCGAGGAAGCCTAGAAAGTGTCGAGTGCCGTTAAGCCATGCAAAGACCAGAAAAGCCCACGCTGGCGGGCCAGCGAGATCTCCTTTGGAGGCCCCTCCGCTGGCGTCAGTATATATATCCGCGGAGTCAAAAGCCGCGTAGGGAGTATCGAAGACAAAGCTGTGCCAGGTGGGGATGGAGGAGGAGTGGAGGGCTGGAAAAATGACATCGAAGTCCCTGACCAACTGTATGGAGGTAGCCGTAAGCACCGGTAGCATCCACCCCATGGGCGGAAGCGGGCTGCGGCGTATACCTTGCCGCCCCCCCAGGTTCACCCGTGGGCAGTGTCCGGGGGAGCGACCTGAAAAACCGCGCCGTCGCGCGCTGCCTGGGCTAAATCGTCCTGAGCAGCTTGTGCCGCGTGGGCCTCGGCTTCAGCGCGAAGGTCCGCAGCCTCTGCTTCTGCCATTGCATCTGCAGGACTGCGTGGGGCAGCCATGGCGGGTGCCCCTGCACGTGACGATGACTCAGCCTCGGCTGTCGCAGGTCTGGGGCGACGTGAGCCACGAGGGCTCTTGCTGCGTGCTGCCTGCTTACCTACAAAATCTTCCTCGCTGATGCCTGAAAGCGCGCGCTCGTCGGCCTGGCCCGCGCGTGCGTGCGGATCTGCCCCTGGCCTTAGCGCTTGCGCTGCGGCGGGAGGATGCCATGGTGACTGGTTCCCCCTTTTCATCGGAGAGGTCCCACCCAAGCTGGCTGGCAGAACGGGTAGGCGGGGGCATATCGCTGGGTTCCTTTACGGAAGCTGCTGCCGGGTTTTGCTGGTTGATAGCAACCTCCCGAACCGAGCTATCTTGAAACGTGGGCGCAGTGGTGATCACCTCCCCTGTCGGCGTCTCGGGCACTGGCGCTGGCCCGGGTTTGGGCACGAAACCTAGGCGGAATAGCGGGCCTGCTTTGGGGGAAGCGCGGGCCTGTTCACATCCTGACGGCGCTGTGGCCCCCCCGGACCGTAGCGCCGTGGCTAGAAACGGCGGCTGGCACTAGCTGCCCGGCCTTGATCTGTGAGACTAGGGTGTCTACTGAGTTGCGCATGGCTTGGGCCTGGGAGTCAAAACTTGCCTTGATGGTGGCAACCTCCCTGGCCATGGCCTCGGCGTTACTCTGCATGCCCGCGGAGAGTGCTGTGATGTAAGGCTGTTCCAACCCTTGGATGCCTGGGAGGGGCGCAGGGCAGTGGAGGAGCGGGGGAGAGGGCGGCGCTGCAGTGAGGGGCGTGGCCGTTCCCAGGTCAGGTGGGTCGGCTCGCTCCTCACCTGTATGGGTTGCAGAGAGTGCCGCAGTGCGCTGTACTGCACCTGGCTCATCCGCCGCATCCCCCATCATGAGCGAGTCAGTGATGGCGGCGGCTGGCGGTGCTTGCGACTTGAAATAAGCTAGTAACGTAGAAGCCTGGCTGAGGTCCGCTTGTGCGGTCAGAAGGGCCAGGGCGATGTTGCGCACGTGCTCCTCCGCCTGCGCTTGTTTGGCTGCCAATTGCTCGCAATCAGCATGCAGGGAGGCCACCACGTGCTCTTGCTCACTAATCTTGGCCAGCGGATCCCTCGCGTGGGCCAATTGAACGTTAACTAGTGAAATCTCCTTTCGGATCTCGGTGATACGCATATCGGAGTGTCCTAGGAGAGTTGAGGCCCTAAGCTGCAGGATTAGTGCCTCCTTGCTCATTGCAAGGGCCTTGCGGTGCTCCAGCAGGCGGTCGGGCTCGAGCGGGGGGTAAAGCCAGGCTGAGTGAGAGTGCGCCTCGTCTGGAGTAAGGGTAGGGCATTGCGCTGTGAGCTCCGCCACCGAGAGCTCAGTGGCAGGATCCAGTGCGCCGAGCGAGGAGGAGGCCTGTTCGGCCGCAAGGAAGGGAGACTGCCGTACAGCGGTTGGGCCGAAGAGTGTAGAGGGAGTGGCCGCACCGTCGTGAGGAGGCGCAAAAGGGGAAGGCTGTGTCTGGGAGACTGTCCTATGATGCCTGTGTCCCTAGCACCGTGTGGGGTGCCAGGAGCCTTCGAGGCGGGCTGCTCCCCTTCTCTGCGCTGGTACTCGCGAGCTCTACGAGCTTCGTCCTTCTCGCGCTTCTTGCGCTCTTTGCTGGAGATCCCTACCGCTTGGACCGCATGGTCTCCTGGGGGTGCGGGGAGCAGGCCGTGCTCCGCTGCCCATGCAGCCACCTGATCGAAAGATGGCGCCGCTGTCGGTGCCTGGCTCTTGCCCAAGTGCACCCCCCCCGTGCTTCCGGAAAAGGAGCGAGGGCCCTTGTGGCCCGGCCCCGCGCCCCCATCTTGCAGGGGCCTGCGCTGCCCCTGACCTTTGGCTGGGCCGGCCGTCGCATGCTGATGACCTGCTGCCCGAGTCGGAAAACAGTTGGGACATGAGACGTCCATAGTGGTGTTGGCCCGGCCGCATTGCAGGCAGTACCAGAACTCGGGAGGGGCGCTGCCTTTCTGGTGCACTGGCTGCTGGGGTGGAGGAAAAAAGTCCATGGGAAGGCGCGTGGCATAAAGAGACGGTGAGGGAGGAGCAGCCAAACGCTGCGTGGGAGAAGTATCCATACCGTGCCGCTGCAGCCCAGATGTTGGCGAGAGAGGCGGCGCGCGAGGAGGGGGTAAGGTTGTAGGAACAGCGCCTTGCTGGGGGATACCCTGGAAGGAGTGGTGCTGCGAAAGCATCATCGCAGCTTTGTGCACCCTTAAAAGCGCGCGGGCGTTAGCGCGCTGCTTGCGCGCTCTGCGATGGGGAGCGGGCTCGTCGCGAGGCCGCTGGGGATAGGAAGGAGGAGAGTAGGCAGGCGTCGCGCCTGGCCGATGGCGGCCCGCGAGGGCGTCGCGGCGGGGATCGGCGCGGAACCGGTTGTGCAACCGCTCGAGCCAAGCCTGGGGGGAGGAGGAGGAGGGAGGGGGAGGAGGAGGAGGAGGAGGAGGAGGAGGAGGAGGAGGAGGAGGGAGGAGGAGGAGGAGGGAGGAGGGAAAAGGAGGAGGGAGGACGAGGAAGAGGAAGAAATGCCGCCGCCATGCACATATTGCCATTCCTGGCAGGACGTCCGAAACAGACAAAACAAACCATGGGCAATCCATCTGGCGAAGCTACCGCATGCAATTTCCGTTGGGGGAATTTCACATGACGGGCGCAACCGCGAGAGCTTCCACGTAGCACGGTTATGATGAACGCATCGTAAGATACCGGGGATCTTCATATTTCCTCTTTTCTAATGACCTCCACGGGGGTGGGGGGGCTTTTTCAATGCTTCATAGCAAGTTGAGGATACAACTCACGCGGCTGGTGGTTCCACATGATGCTACGCCGAAGGCTTCTGTCGCACTGGCTGCTTGCCGCCGCCCAATCTAATCCAGCACCCCTCTCACGCAGTTTGGTGCCCCATAGGGAACTCGGCCGAAGTTCTTTGTCCCGGTGCATGCCGCATGCCGCTGGCCAGACTATTTCAGTTTATAGTTCTTGCAGTTCGGGGTCCCATGCGGCACCCCGCCGAAGGCTTTTGTGGCACAGGCCGCTTTGCGCAATTTTGACTATGTCAGCACGCCCTGACACAGTTCGTGGCCCCACAGAGAACGTCGCCACAGGGTTTTTGAAGCACCGGCCGCTTGCCGCCGCCCAAAACGATTGCAGTTTTTCTCCATGCGGTTCGCGGAGTCATGGGGAGCTCCACCGAAGGCCCTCGTAACACAGGCCGCGCGCCGCCGCCCAGACCATGTCAGCGCAGTCTTCGCGCGGCTCGTGGCCTCCAGGGGGGGTGCACCGAAGGGTTTCGTGGCAGAGTTCACATTCACACTCGATGCGCTGGCGTGTGTCGCATGCGAATTGCGCTCTGGAAAAAAAGGTTGGCTTCTTCGCAAGAGTGAAATATAGGTGAGAATGTGTGGGGTTCGTTGTGAAGTTTTCCGTGAACGTGTAGAACTGTGCCCCTAAAACAAAACGAGCTTGGCGTTTGGACGGCCGGCAATGTAACTCATGCCCAAGTTGCAACGCGCACTTGCTTGAGCTTAGCATGAGAAGTGCCTTCGCCGTCAGCCCCGATATTTGGCAAGCCACGCGCGGCGCTGCAGACATTCCGCAAGACCTACTTCACCACAAGTATGCGTGAGGACCGCTTATAGTGGTACACACCTGCAAGACGTGCGACACAACACTATTTGTTTGTATCGCTGCGCGACGACAGTATTACATTATGGACCAGCCAGAAACACTACATGACTGCAACACCGTAATACATGATGCAGCCAGCCCTGACTACCCTCGGAGGACGCGGTGGGTTCGGTCCCGATTGTTTGGTAGTTGCTCACCACCACCACTCGAAGCCCTTGCAACAGCCGCCAGGCACGACTTCCATGAAGCACAAACCTGGCGCTTTCAACAGTCCCTCACCGCCTTGGCGCCGCTCGCGCACGGGCCCCCGGGCGCCGGGAAGACCGAGACCGACGCGGCCGTTCTGGACCTCTGGCTTCCGCGCGCGCCGCTAGGATGGGCCGTCAGCCTGAATCCGGCTCCCACAACGAGGCCGACATGCCGGCCAAGTGCCCCTCCGACGCCCAGCGCGTTGGGAAGCTAAGCGGAGACTTTGGCTCCCCATTCCCGCGCGGCTGGCCCGCCCAGACAAATTCACCAACCGCGAAGCTCGCCGACTCACTCCTTTTCAGCGCTCCCGGAAGGCCTGGGGGGCCAATCCCCACTGCGAAGTAGGAAGCAGAGCATTCCAAAAGGAGATGAAGGAACGAGCGCCCAGGGCTCCAGACATCTCCTTGCCACGCACGAGAGCGCCGCTGACCTGGAAGGGCCCGACAGCCCCAACCTACGCCTTGGCATCCTGGACAAGGCAGGGCAATCCACAGCACCGCAGCCGCCGCCACCCCGGCGCTATTGGTCCGCGGCGGCGGTCGGGTGATCATGCGCAGTGACGAGAACCAGCTCAACCCCGACGTCATTTCCGACAGGGCTGCCGCCTTGGGCATGTTTTTTCCTTGGTCTCATGCGGTTGCGCGACGCGCTGGGGCGGGGCGTTGAGCGCGGCGTTCTCCTGAGCCAGTGCTATCGCGTGCACCTCGGCATCCTACAGTGGCCACCCCGCAGCCTCTACAAGCTGGCGTCAGGGTTCAGGCTGCATCGCCAAGAAGCCCGCTATGCCTGGACTGGCGCGGCGGAAGGCCAGACCGCGGGGCCGCGGCGACCTAGGCGCTCTGGGGCACGGCGACTCCGGCAGCTCGTTCCCCATCGGGGCCGGCGGCTTCCGCGGCCCGGACCGCGGCGCCCTTGGCGACCTGATCCGAGTGCCTCTGCCCCACGAGAAGTCCGCCGAACTGGCCGTCGACCTTGCAGATGGCTCTGCCGACCTTAGAGAGGCGGCGTCGGCTTGCGACGTCGTCACTGCTGTTGAAGGCCACCTTCTGGAATGCAGCAAAGGAGTATCAAGCCCGTTTTCATTCAGACATATGAAACATGGCTGGCCCATCGACGCCCGTGCTTTTCTTCGGTCTCACCACCAGGACGAGGTAGGCACAAATGGAGAAGACGGACCCAGCTGCGAGGACCCCCCCCCCCCTATCCCGAGATTCAACCCCCCCGCGCCCTCGCAACCCACCAGGGGGAGGCCTGGTGGAGGCAAGGTGCGCTGGGCAAGCCCGTCTTCCGACAGACGCCAAACTCAGTCAACAGACTATTGCTCCCGGTTCCCAGGGCCGGAGGAAAGACACCTCCAGCTCTTCCAGAAAGGGCTCATCAGCGTCGCCGCAATCGGCGGCACCTAAGGCAACGAAGCCAACCTAGTCGCCCAGCGCACCGCCAAGTGCGTTCCATACCAACAGTGAGGCTTCATGGGCGACCCCCACACGATGAAATTCGTCATCGCCTGGGCGCAGGAGGGGATCGCAGCGCCCATGAACGGCCGCGTGGCCAGCGCAGCCAAAGTGTTCCAGTTGCGCGCGCTGGCCGGCTGGGCGGTCAGGGCAAGCCCGTGGGCCCCGTGCTTCGAGTGCCCCTGGGCCAGGCCGGCGCTAGTAGAGACCCCGGGCTTTTCCTCGGCCCAGCCGCAGCAAGGCCCGATCGGATCCGAGGCCCCCGCCCACGCCCAGGGGGGCCAATCCCGGATCGACGCCGAGCGCGACGAGCGCGCCCATGTAAAGAAGGCCCTCAATATTCAGTATCAGCGCGCTCTGGGCTTTCAGGCCACGTGCGACAAAGCGCGACCGCCCGGCCGCCTGCTGGAACAGACTCTGCGGACGAGCTGCGGACCGCGGGCGCCGCCCTCGCGCGCGACCCCCCGCCCCTTGGCCCCAGGTCATATACTGCGTCCACAGCCTACGCCCGCACTTGCACGGCCCAGGGGATGCCCTTGATAATTTCTGCGAGCATTGCCGGAAAATGGTCGGTAATCTCTTCGACATGGAGCTGGGCTTCGACCCGACTTACTACGCGCACGCCGCCACTTGGGGGCGCTGGCTGAAGATCGCAGGCCCGCAGCCGACCAGCCGCCAGGTCGGGCGCGCCCCGGGGGGCGGGCTAACCCCCGTGCCCAAGCGCCTTATGAAGCGCGCTGCCGCTGAGGGAAGGCGGCAGACCGCGCGCCACCCGGGCCCCCCCAGGCAGCCGCCCTCTGCCTGGAGCAACACCGCGTGCGAGCGTTTCCGGCACCAGGGCCAGCCCTTTTTCTGCACGCCTCAGCGCGCCCATTCAGTCCCCAGCCAACCACGCCCTTGCCATGGCGGGGCAGCTAACAGACCCTGACGGCACGCCAATCAGCAGAGCTTGGGCCAACAGCGCACTGATCGTGATGCTGCTACTAACCGGGGATCCCAGGCCCACAGTGGCGCCCTATGCCAACCCTGGCCTATGCGTGCCATTCAACAAGGTCCGATTGTCGATCAGGGGCAGCTTTGGGCGAGCGCGCAGCATCGCCGAGCCTGACTTTTGGAGGCTCCAAGGGCACATGGCCTTTCATCGGGGACGCTCGCGCCTCGTATCCGTCGCACGCCGCCGCCCTACTGTCAGGCACAGCCGCCAGGTGACCACCTGGAACGACCTGCTCTCCCTGGGCTTCCCGCTAACTGACACGCTGCGACCATCGCGCCGCCTCGGCCGATCTATCGGCGCTCAGCGAGCGCGAGCGCGCTGTCTGCGCGCCCTCACAGGACCACCCTGGCTCCGACGTCGGGCCCCCCCCCCCCCGTCGCGCCCGCCTCGACCCAGATCCAGCGCGCGGGTGGCGGAACATCCGGCAGACGAAGGGGCCTGCGCGAGCCCCCATCCACGGGGGCCCTGCCAGTTGTCGCGCTGCCACCGGCGACTCTGCAGACGGGCGACAACCGGTTCCAGCCGGCCGCCTGGTCGCATCGCGCCCACTGCGACAATTGCAAGCACCGCCCCGTCGACCTGCGCAAATCCAGCGGAGGTGCTTGGGTCAACGCCGAGGCCCGCCGAACACTGGCAGCCAGCCGCTTAGAATTCGACAGGCGAGTGGCCGACTGTTGGCGGCACTGCGCCTCGCGCTGGAAGACCAACCAAAACCTCGACGGAAAGCCCGTGTCAGAGAGGAAGACGCTATCCGCCTTCCTTCGCGACTTAGAACAGCAGCAGCCCACCTCCACCAGATCGACTGCGTTTAAACCGCTGTCCGCAGCGCCCGGCCCCCCCCCCCCCCCCAGACACGCAGACGTCACTCTGGCGGCCCCTGCTGCCCCGAGAGGGCGCGCGCGACCCAGCCAGCCGAAGCGCGCGCCGCGATGCCCGCGCAGCGCGCCGACGACGACACGTTCAAGGAGAAAGCCGCGACGGACTGCTGGAAGAGCAAGTGCGATCGCTGCCCTAGCATCGCTCTGACCCACGAACGGCCGCGCGGGCAGAGGCCGAAGGGCATGTCGTTCCCCCGCCCAGGTGCACTCGACTCCGAGTCCCCCAGCCGCGGCCCCACTCTTTTCAACGACTGGGCCACCTCCTTCTCAAACATGCGGTGGAACGCAACCTGGCACTGAGAACGCTGTTTGGTTGGCGCCTGGAACGCGCGACCATCCGACGCGGCGGAGATCCTCGCCAGGGGCGGGACCCAGATTTACCCAGACACCCAAGCGAGCGCGCGCGCCCCCCGGCCCCCCCGCCACCAGTCTCGAACCCGCTCCTGGCCCAGGCCGGCACGACCACCAGACGCAGCGACCACCTTCCGGCGGCCAGAGGGCGCAAGGCCCAGAAGCTATTCATGACCCTTTCCGGCGTCTTCCAGCAGGCCCCAGCTCGCGAGCTGGGCCGCTGCCTGCAGCCTCCGCGCGTTCGGGGCCCCGGGCCTGGCGCTGCCGCCCGCCGCCGCGCTGGCCCAGCATGTTGTTGGATGCAATCCATCAGGACGCAGCCTTACTTTCCGCACCTTCCGCGCCCCCGTCTTGGCGGAGCGCGGCCCGGCGGCCTGACGCTTCGTGCGTTTCGTCGGATGCGCGCTGCTTTGACTTGCAGTTTCCGCGCTGGGCCCCGCTTCAGCAGGTGCGCAGGCACAGCTGCCGCCCCAGTTCCCGCCGGCGGGGCTGGCCGCGCCGACGCACGTAGGGATGTGATCCGCCCCCCCTGAGTGGCCGCCGCCTTACCTCCCACCCTCTGCGGCCGCCTGCTCTGTCTTAAGCCAGTGCCCCCGAGAATGAATCATACGTGCCTTTACTATCCCGTGTCAATAAGATTCAGGGTGGAAATTGCGAATCGAGGTTGCGATCCTATCATGCTGATGAGCAACAGCATCAAAACGCTGAGCATGGCAATGGTGGTCTCACCACTTCAGCTTCCCCAATCACGAGCGTGTGGCAGGGCTCTGGGATTTTCACCATTTCGGTTTTCCCAAGTCGAGAACGTGCGGCAAGGCCATGGGAGCTCTCTTGCGCAGGCAAGTTGTAGCCACGAGACTCGATATCTCTCGAGTCAGTCTTGTGCCAAGATATACAAAGTCAATCTACGCGAGCGCCCAGGACCACCATCAGCAGCAGCAGCATCATCACTTTCGCCCGGAAAACCGTTGATGATCCCCGCCAGGCCCCAGAATTATCCACAGGGGATTGTTATGGTGAGCGTTGGGTTGTTCTCCCGCTCTTGCATGTTGGTCAATTCGCTACATAGGTGCCCCAGCTTATTTAGCTCCTTCGCCAGCGCAGTCGACCCGTGCCTAGCCGCCGACGCAGAAGTTGTTGTTTCCCCTGGTGGCGAGATTGGCCCCCGTCGTGGCGCCCCTCCAAGAGTGCCCGTGGTTCGGTCGGTTCGCCAGTTGTGCGTCCAGCTGCGTTCGACCGACTCGATTCGGTCAATTGGTGCGTCGCTGCCTCCTGGGTCTCTTTTGGTTCGTCGGGTTCGGTCGGCTTCGGTTTCGCTGTCGATTCGGCGGTTTGTCCGTTTGGGTGTCACCGCGTGGGCGTCCACAGTTTTTTTTTACGGCGTGCATGATACTTGCAGGGTGTTTTTGTTCGAGCCAGCCTCCTCTAGGATCGCGGCGCCCCCTCAGGGTCTGTTTGGATCCGTTCGATTCGATCCTGTTCGAATTCCGTTTCGGTCAATTTGATCCAAGTCGATTCCAGTTGCCCAGCGATCGATCCGAAGCGGTCCGGAGCATGCATGGCGTCGTTGTCTACCCTGGCGCGGCCGGTCCGATTCGATTCCAGTTCCGTGTCGCTACGGCCCGACCTGATGTTTGTTCCGATCCAGTGTGCCGATTCGGTGTTGGTTGCTCCTGCCCCCTGTGGCTTGCCCGGCTGGCAGGCCGCAGCGACGAGAGCGACGCCCCCACGCTGGATGAGGAGCGCGTGCGCCTGCGCGCGCCGTGGAAAGGGTCGCGGATCGAGAATCGAGGTTTCTCACGGTTTTTGGACCCAGGACCGTTACGGTAGGATCGTGTCGAGTCGACAGGCGGCGAACCCAGCGCGGGTTTGTAAGGTTGAGCGGGGGGCGCCTCCAAAAGTTTCCTGGAGGTTCCTGGGGACCACGGCGGCCGACTCTAGAAGACCCCGCGCCTGCTTCCGCCGAGCCTCTGAGGGCGGACCCGCCCAGCCTCCGCCGAGCCTCCCAGACGTCGGATGTCTCTGCGAGCAATTGCGAATCCCTCCCTGGCGGATCCACCCCAGACATGCCGGCGTCGCGAAAAGATCGCGACGGCAGGTTTCCGACTGTTTTCGGTTTCCGGGTGTCCTCGCCAGGCCTTGACCTTGACGCCGCATTGACATTGCCAAGACATTTGGCGATCACATGCGAAGATTGCCCTTGCGTGTACACTCGACGCTGGGGTGTCGGACACCCCCGCAGGGGTTGCTTCCTTTGGCTGCAGACATCCTTCGAGTTCTGAACCACAGCCATTTCCCAGAGGAAGATTTACCTCCTCATACTGCGCACCTCTAGTTTGGCAGTGTGCGCGTCAGGCCCCCCTCCCCCCCCGCCGCATTTCACTGCCAAGCCACGGGATCCCCAGATACCGTCCCAAACGACGTTTGGCATCGTACCAGGATGACTTGATATCTTGCAGGGAAATTAGAGTCGTACTAGAATGTGCTGGAACCTTGCCCAAGCAGTTGGGCAAAATAATGGGACAACGTGGTATTGTACCAGGCGAGTTTGGTTTTATAACAGACTCGCGTTTGCATCTCTATGTTTCGCATGCGGCCAAGCCGAAAGGCACTTGGTATTATTTCACCAGCCTTTGGTCTTGTATCGACCAAGGCGTGTCCGTAAGGAAGGTGGAGCCGAGACTGGACCTCATCATCCAACGCTTTCGCGAAAGCTTCTCGAAGCGTGCTGCTCCAAGCTGCGGCCACGTCCCAGTGATCCATCTATACCTGCTCTGCGGACCACTCGTTCATCTGCAACTCTTTGGCCGTCGACCAAACTCGAGACAGCATAGTGACCAAGCCGATGGCTCGGTCTACGACTTGCTTCTTGCAGAGCAATTTCCCAATCATGCACGGGCCCTGCCACGGCCACGAGAGGCCCTCCTCGACCATGAGGAAAGAGTCGCACAGCTCCTGGATGCCCTCGTCTGGTAATCGGGACATCCTGTCGATGCCCAGCGCTCGCGCGTCGGCCACGGACATGGGAATCAACTGCTCCACCTCGGCTTGTGCCCGCATGGAAGCCAGCGTGGCTTTCACCGACTCCAAAGGAGCACCATCCGAATTCCACAGCTTGTGATACTTAGACAGTTTGCTTTCGACGATATCCCTGGGATGCACAACGGCCGAGCCACCAACCTCGTCGAAGTTCATCTCGTTCTGGATCGTTACCTTCGAGTGATTTGTGAACACCTCCCTGCGTGAGTTGAACAGCCCGTTTTGCCGCCTTGTTCCGCAAAACTCGCTGCGCCATGTTGTGAGCCCGAGGCCACCGCGTGGCAATACCATCCTTCATCAGTTGCTGTATGATGTGTTCGGCCTGCTTGCCCGAAGCGACTCTCAACTCGCAACTCGTACTCCTGGACTTGATTGGAGCCTCCAAACCTTGTTGACCAAGAATCGTAAGCTCCGCAGTGGCAACCCATCGCGAGTAAGAATTTCCGATGCGTAGAACATGTTGACCATACGTTGGAAGGCGAGTGACGGACTAATGGGGTGCCAAACGTCGTGAAGAGAGTTTGTATGCCATGGGAGTTGAGCCGAGGTGTCTGCCCAGGCCGATGATGGGATAGCGAAAGAGAGGACAAGAGCAGGCGGCGGCAACAGGAGCAGGAGACAGTTGGCCATTCACTCTATCCAGGGGCCCCGAGTTCTCAGGACGCTCGGCTGGGATGGTCGTTCCATTGACATCCTTACACTACCTCCTGCGGCCGGCAGAGGCCTCGGATGTGTTTGTTGGCCGTACGCGCCCTTACAGCCGGAAGCACCATCGGCAGAAAAAACCCTGCACCAGGTCAGGTTTTGCGTGGTAATCTGATTCTCGCGAGCGGCAGGGTGAAAACTAAACTCGACGGCCCAGGGGTCCTCCCCGTCAGCTCTGCCCCCAGGGTTGGTCCCATAATCGCCTGAAAAATCGCGGAGCGCCCTCGCAAGCGAGGCCTTTGTTTTGTCCAGCGCAAGCTAACTGAACGAAGGGTGTACAGTGAGCGCTGCCCCCCAACACACCACGTGGAGACGCGAGGTTCGGCGTCGGATGCCAAAATGGCGCTCGAACCCAAATTGCTTGGTTGGAAGAGGAGATTTCAGCAGGAACAAGAGCACGAGCAAAAGGAGACGGGAGAGTTTGCGGAGGAGGGAGCAGGACGAAGGAGGTGGAGGAGCTGGAGGAGGGTTGAATCCTTCCGGATATTTTGCATGGGAACGAAGCGTCGGTTGTAATGGGAGGGGCTCCTTGATTTGTTTTTCTTACCCCAGGCCCGCAGGACCCACCCAGAGAACTCCTGCGCCCACGGACCGAGAGGCTTGGATTAAGCTGGATACCCCACAGATTCATGGACAGTTGTGTGTCGTTAGGCATGTGAAGGCAGCGCTGACTGCCACGCATGCAGGAACCATCGATTTTACTAACGGCCACCAAGGATGTTGCCCCGCAAGAGGCCTTCGAGATGCTTCAGATGCAGCAGAAGATGAATGCCATGCTGATGAGCGGCGCCAATTGGAATTTAGTGGCGGAAAGAGAAGCGCGCAGTCTTCACAGGCAGGTCGAGAACATGGCGGCGAACGCGAGCACGCATGGTGGCATGGTAAGGGAGATTTCGACGTCAAGCGATATGTTTCACAAGGGCGGAGTAAAAGCAGGAGGCGGCGACGGCAAGCCCATCAGCGAGTTCTAGGCCCCACAGAACTTCAAAGCATTCACCAGCGGAAGATCTACATTCAGAGAGAGGAGCGACAAGCTACTCAATGCCCCGGCACAAGTGCGGCTCATCTACCGCGGAGCAGTTACGTCCATAAAAAAGCAAGTGGAGCCAATTGGCGGAGTCATCCCTGGGGCAGACCCAGAAGAGGATCTGTCGCGAGTTCTAAATCGGCGATTCTCGCCGAGTGCCAGAAGGCCAGTGCCGCCAGACAGCAGCAGGATGATGGTTAAAGGGAATTTGAGTTGACCGACGAGGACACGAACCAACTCGATGAGAATCGCGGGCACGGCCTTGGCGAAAAGCTTGAGGGGCCCGACGCACGCGGCAAACGTGCAGGGATTGACAGACAGAGGTGGACTTGCCGCATATCGGAAGATATGCACGACAGTCGCAGGATCGACATCGGCGCAAAAGATGCCCCGGGCAATGATTGTTGAACGGCCCGGGCGCGTTGAATGAGCGCCTGGCAACCACTGGCGGGGCGCTCAGGCGCAGGCGTTGGGGAAACATGAAGTGCGCGCGCGTTGCCCCTGCCATTCAGAGTTTCTGCCTTCCGCGCGATAACGAGCTTCTCTCCTCCATTCGATGAATGGCAGCAAAAGCTTTTCTCGACCCCCGATGGCCTGGGCGCGGATATGCACAAGAAGCCCCGCGCTAAATGCGAAGACTTGGGCCAGGAAGAAGAAGTTGGAGGCAGGCGCGAAACGCGGCGGCGGTTTGGGCGCGGGGATGATTGACAATGACTCGGGCTGCTCCAGTTGCGGCGCGAGTTGCAGCGCAGGTGGTTCGGATGCTCAAGGGTGGGTCGGCTGCGACGGCGCTCGGTGGCCCGGCGACGGTCGCCGGCAAGGTGAGACCGAACGCGAGAACGACGATGCGAACGCAGATGCGCAGAGGGCAACGGAGAGGGCGTCGCATGTTTCTGCCGCTGCGGATTCGGACGCGCAGCAGAGGACTGTCGGGGGCCCGAGAATCTCATGCGCGGAGGGGCGGGAGATAGAGGGACAAGAGGCAGGGTAAATTTCCAGACCTCTCGGGGCAACTACCGCGAGGAAACACGCGGCGGCAAAATTCTAAGCCGAAGACAGGGTTACTTCTGGTGGACCTGCGTCGTTTATGTAGCATGCCGATCGCGAGTGCCGCGAATGCGGGGGCAAAGGGCGCGCCGCCGTGAACTGCCCGCAGTCGGCCGACGACTTGGGGCAGAGTTGCCAGGGGGGCGCAAATCCCACTGTGCTCGGACAACCGCAAGGGCGCGCTCTCGCGGGGTGAAGAAGCGAGAACGATCGAATGGACACAAATTTTAACTCTGCCAATCCGCTGACAATGACCAGACAGCCTGAGGAACTGAGAAAACAAGGGCATGACATAACGATGACCAACGTAAGCGCGGCCCTGACCGCGCGCGCACGTCGCCAACTGCGCCGGCGCGAGCGCGGCTTCGACCGCGGGGATCAAGCGATTAACCGCAGTTTCAAGCACGGCAGCGACAGCTAGTCACCGACGGGTCGACGCGCGGGGCTCGCGGGGCCCGTGGATGCGCGAGGGGGGCCAGCGCGGCGCCGCTGAGTGGCGACGAGACCGAGGCGATCATCCTTATCGCTGACTCCTTTGCGCGTGATTTTGTCGGGCCCCTTAGGGTGGGCGCCCGCCCCCCCAGTGAGCCCGCCAGCGATTCGGCGCAAGGCGCGCACTGCAGCGCAGCAAGTGGGTCCATAATCAGAACTACGAGCAGAGAGTAAATGCCGGGCGACGTGAGAGCGAAATGAATGTCAGTGCGCTTGTTCAAATGGTCGGCTGGGAGAAGGCCCTGCGGCCCGGCCCGCGAGATGGTGGAGTCGGGTAACCGAGCGGCATTTGACCGCGATGATTCGGGGAGGCCGCGCGGCTTCATCGAACGCCAAATCCAGCGGCGAGAACGCGGTGATCCACGAAGGGAATGACACTCTTCATTTTGCCATTCAGGCCCCCAAAAATGACGGGGCGGGCGCCGCTGAC